ATTATTATTATTATTATTATTATTATTATTATTATTATTATTATTATTATTATTATTATTATTATTATTATTATTATTATTATTATTATTATTATTATTATTATTATTATTATTATTATTATTATTATCGTCGTTGTTGTTTGTGATCTTCTGTGTCCATTTCAAATTTGGCCTTGAACTATACGAGCTTGGATCACACACAGCTCTGATGATTTCATCTTTATTTTTGAGCTGTAATAGTATATGAACACACACGCGTGCACACACACGCACGTGCACACACACACTCAGAGAGAGAGAAAGAGTCAGTTTTATTATGCTGGAAGGGCAGCCTGATAAACGAGAGCAGAAATTGACATGGACACGCAGATGAATCAGTATTGGACCATCACTCTCTATTTACTGCAGGATGACGGATCTCGACGTTCTCTTCATGAGAATGAATTTTTCTTCTTCCTTTTTGTCAATTCTGCGGAAATACATTTAAAAATAGAAACACAAAAAGTACATAAAAACACGTTAAAAATACAAAAAAGGTAGATGTATTATTATTATTTGTTATAATAATAATTATCAACAGAAAACACAATTTAAAAAACTAACCACAATACCATAATCTCAAAAGAAAGTGACCGCGTCTGTCATTGAGTATCATAAAAAGAAATGTATTTAACTGCTTGGAAAAAAAAAAATTAAAACGTAAAATAATATAAATAAATCTACTAACAAATCCTTCAAAACTCTAATACTAAAATATTCAAAAATATACTGAAATATTAAAACAAATAATATATGTATTTAAAATATATTAAAATATAAATAAATGTGGCTTTGAATCATTTGACCATAAATAAATTCACCCCATGCAGTACCATTGTTTCTGACTACAGCAGTATAGCAGTAGTAGCAGTGATAGTGGTCGTAGAGCAGAATGTAATAGTAGTAATAGTAGAGGTAACATTAAATGTGATTTATTATAGTGGATATTATTAAATCTAGACAGGAAAATGTGAGGTTTTAGTGACAAATATTGCAGCAACTACAAAACAGCAGATAACTGTTTATGGAACACACACGCCGAGCATGGTAATGTTTTTAGAAAATGCCCTTTTGTTTCCCCAAAGACGTGTAGCATTTCTCTTACATGTCTTTAAGGCCTCTACGTTTTAAACAAAATAAAAACAATTTAATCTGGCATATTAATTAATATTATAAAACCTGAGTAATTGGAATTATCCACACTATTGTCTGCTATCGTTTTTATTAGTGTATATTTTCAGAGGTCTATTGGTGCAGATTAATTAGGTCAATTATTATACAAATCACGATGGTGAGATACACTGTGGAATGTTGAAGGTATTGACAAAGCAGACATTTATCCATACCTTTTAAAAAATTATTTTTGTTAATTTTCACCTCGATTTGTCATTTCATGCACCAACAATTTCCACACAGGTTGTGTGAACCTTGTTTTTACGTAGTTTTGTTGAAATCCTCGATAAACCTAAAGTAAATTAATTAAAACCGAACGCTGTATTTGTTCAGTCGAATTCCTATAACTTGTCATGCAGAACGTTAAACATTTGGACTGAATGTTGACGTTAAATAACCCATAAAAAAACCTCATTGAGTTTTTATTTGCTGAAACACAATGTTAAAAGAATGGAAAAACTAACGTTGGCGTAATGGTAAAATTACAGGTGGCCGAAAGGGACAAAAATGGCTGACAATGACAAACGATGGTGGAAATTATCCATTAAAAACAATACATTTTTTAACAGGAAATTACAAAAGTAGCATAAAATAACAAAAATAGTAATTGTAAAGTGACAGCAGATTTCTTTTAATGGTACGGTCTTAAGATTATTTATTAAATTGGATGGTTAAAACCATTGACAGAAAAAACCGACAATAAAAATAAAAAGTTCAGTGAAAATAGTAAGAACAAAAAAAATTGTAGTGAAATTATATTAAAAATAATACGCAGTGAAATTGATTTGTGAACATTTTTGCCACCATATTGGCCCAAGCAAATACAAACACAAGCATATTTTACATCTAAATATATCTGATTGGTGGCAACATATAATTGGCATTTATTCTACTGTCCATTATTATTCTCTGCATCATTACATGAGTCACTTTAAAGAGATGTTTTGACAAATATTTATCTCCAGTTTCACAGTTAATTCTACACTTAACAATAACATTTTGACCCCCGTATTCTCCCCTCCAAAAAAAAAAAAAAATCTCCCGTGAACCCTCTGCAGTCCGCGACCCGGTGTTTCGGTACGACTGCATATGATTCCTTGGCCATGATGTTATATTTTAATTATTTATTTTACTGTATGGGAGGAGGAGGCTGCTCTTTGTTTTGTTGGTGTGTGAGTGTTTTTTTTCTCATGACCTCATCATTTTGAAGATGAAAACGTAGACCATCACCACATCCCCCTCCTCCTCCTCCTCCTCCTCCTCCGCCTCCTCCTCCTCCTGTCCATTCTCCTGCTCAACCACCACTACCATCACCTCTCCTGCACCTCTCCACGCATTAAATATTCACCATTCCGTTCCTTTCTGCCGATTAATTATTAAATACTGGGGGACGATATGTCAAGTGCAAAAAGATACAGTGTAAATAGGCTTATCAATTTTACTCATAGTCACCGAGGGCCCGTCGTTTAATTTCTCTGCAGCTTCGTGTCGCTGTAATTATTTCGCAGCTTAGATCTTTTTTCCACTGTATTGATCAGAGCGAGATGCAGCAGCAGCAGCAGCTTTACCAGCATCACACACACTTCTCCACATACACACACAAACAAACACACACACACTCCTAAGAATCAGCCTATGTTTTCTATCAAAGGCCGTAAATCAAATGCACTCCCCTCTCCTCTTCTCTCCTCTCCTCTCCTCCCCTCTCCTCTCCTCTTCTCCCCTCCTCGCATTTTTTCTGATGGGAATCACTTTAAATGTTTTTCGCTCCTTCTGCCTCTTGTTTTTCTCTTGGCTTTCCAAGTTGAAACCCAAGCAGAAAACTACCCCCGACAACACGCTGCCAAGGAATAATCCCTGCTCTAACAACCAGAGGTGTTCTCTCTCTGTGTTTTCTTTCTTCCTTTTCTTTTTCTTTGCCTGGCTGTAAATGAAACTCGATAGAACTCGATTTTTCCACTCATTTTTCACCCTCACACGCGTCCTGGGAGACCGAACTGCTGCTATAAATCATAGGGAGTTTATATTGGAGCGAAGCGATTGTTTTAATTAAGATCTGGGTTTTAAAGGTTGAACTCAATCCAATTTAAATTGAAATAACCTCGACAGCCTATAACTAATAATGTCGATTATCAACACCTCTGTGCGTCTGTTTCACTTACTTATTAATTTACTAAATAATTTCAATCGATTCACAGATTGTCCGTTGTATTTATTTTGACGTCCCCTTGGATACTATTAATTTTATAATTATAATAATAATAATTATTAGTAGTATTATTAGCATATTTAGTATTATTAGTATTATACATGCTGGTGACGAAGTTCTGTATTGGAAAATCAAAAACTGACAAATGCTACAGGCTTAAAGCTTATCGTCGTCATCATTGCTATCAATGCTAGGTGCTGTTGTTTTTACTATTCATAATTGTTATGATTATTAAATTAAATTATTTCCATTGTCAGTATTAAGTTATATTATTTCAATATAATACACGGTCACTGCCATTTTAGGACTTCTTTTTCAATCTAACTACGGTGTTACTTCAATTCTTTTTATTTTTTAAATGTGTATTTATTTAAAAAATACCTTATATTATTCAATTGTTTGTGCTATTTTCTGAAAAGGAGAATTGCTATATAAATATATCCCACAAATCTCGACTCTGTTTAGTTATTTGTTCTAAACTGGGAAAAAAAGGTAACATATATTTTAACTGCCTTAAATTGTTCGGATACGGACAAAAGAAATATGAATAGATTTGCACCTTTTGACTTAAAACGCATCCTGGTCGCATGCTTTTAGTTTAATAATAATAATAATAATAATAATAATAATAATAATAATAATAATAAAGTGATATTTTACTAATGCCAGTCTTTATGCACCTCGCAGCAGCAATAAAAACATAATTAAACCTCATTTTCTTTCATTTATTTTTTTTTCTTTCTACTTCAATAAACATACGTGCCCGCGCGTGCGCGTAACTTAAACGGCATCATGGCGGCCGAATGTGATTGTTTGCTTTGTTATTATTAATATTAATAATATTTCTGTCGTGTGCTGATTCTGGCCCTGACACGAGGCTCCGTCGCCGCCTCTATGTGTCCCGTACAGTGTAATAAATAGCAATATATGTTCATGTTATATTTCAATATCCCCTTTAGAATCCTTCACGGCTGTATTTATTAGATTGCTGCAAAGGTAATATCCGCAGAGGGGAAGGCGGCCGCTGTCACTGAGAAGTGTTATTAAGTATAAGTGGTTTTATTATGGCAAACATATTCTCCACGGCAGCTTTTATTTATTTTTTATGCTAAATTGTATCGTAGAGTCTGCAGATTCAACACTATGGTGCCTTTTTTATTTGGAGTTTTACATTTTCTGCTAAAGAAAAAAAAAAGTCAGACCATTTTCTTGCAGGGTTTTTGTCTTTTTTTATGAGACTCAGTTTTCTCTCTCTCTTGTTATTGGTAGGGTTTTCCACACGCCATCCATTAGCTCTTAACTGTTTTCTAGGCTGTTCTGGAATACTGATAATCATTAGGGAAAATGGCATTTGAATGTAACTTCAGTCTTTTCTAATGGATTTGAAGTCTTGGCTTAAGTTAAACGTAGAAGACACAAGATCTGGAATAATGCAAGAAAAATGTCTCATGGATTTTATCATCATCACATCATTGGCGTTCTTTTCACTTTTCCATTTGGACACACTTTTGATCTTATTTTTTTTTTCCTGAGGAAAAAAAAGATATAACTCTGAAGGTAAATCAAATACAATCAATATTCTTGACTTTTTTGCCAGAATTTAGATATTATTCTCAAAATGAAAACTGGAAAATGTCTATTTCCCTCTGTTTTTTAATGGCCATTCCTGTGATCAAGGACATTATCACACGGTTTTGTCAAAATTAGTTCTCTTTGAATGAAATATAGTTAAAATCACATTTTCCTTTTTTTTACAGTCAGAGTTCTAAGAAATGAATTACAAGACTAACTAATTAGAACACTAATCCCCTCACAGTTAATTCTCTACTGAACTCAATATTATAAACATAATTGTGATCCAGCCCTGTTGATTATTATTATAGAACAAAGCACAGATCTGAATTACAAAATGCTGGTATAGTTTAACTATAAAAGTGTTTTAGTGATAATAGTGAGTAATAGTGTTTGTCCTGAGGTATCAATTAGTCTTTCTTAAAGTCTGAATCAATAGGACTCCATTACATGTGCACAAATCTGTACAAATGTAATAATTTAAGGGGGAAAATCCTCACCTAAATCTCACACATACTGAGATTTAAGTCACGACAACAGTTTATCTTGTCCGTGACTCTGTTCTGCAGACTTCTGCGTCTTTAATGAAATCCTTTGGTTTATTGTTTCATTAAACGCGATACTTGATCAGGACATGGAGTGTTTTAATTTGGACAGTGGTTTTGTTCTATAATTATGGACAGCACCTGAGTTCACAGTCCCAGTGATAATAGCAGTAAATAAACCTGAAGGGGTATCTGATTCCTGAACAGTCTCATGCTTAATGTCAAAACACTGAACCTGGCTGTAGCAGTATCTGTGAACCGGCGTCTGTATTGATCAGTGTTTTTGCACATGGTGAGGTCAAGCATCGCTGCAGCTGGCTGCTGCTTGCTGTTGCATTGTGTGTTTTGTGGCCTCTGAATGTGTTTTCATGTATGTGCCTGATCCATTAGCTGGCCTGCAGATGGCCTGAAATAGTCATGCAGTATTGACACAGACCTGCTACTGCTGGAAGAAATTCAGGTCTGCACCTAAATGCTGTAGTGCACCATGATAACATGTTGGTGTCTAAATCATTTTCAACATCTAAGGGTCATGACCTCTTACTTATATTTGAATCTATAACAATGTTATACAGATTTATAGCATTTAAAAACATTCACTTAGTGCATAATGCATGCTTTTGTTTTCCAAGTACACCCACGAGAGAACCCACATTTTGCACAGATTTAATGAACTATCCAAGCTTCTCCAAATGTCACATAATGAGAGAGAAGCAGTAAGGGATCCATTAGTTTTATAAGAATAAAAAAAATTCTACTCTGAGGGGTTCTTGAAAACAATGCTAGTTAGACATTAGGCCACAAATAATATTTTTTAAAAAAGTAAAATAAATTGTAAAGAAATTTGTCTCAAAATAACCTACAATTGATGGTGCTAGAAGTTCAAGTATTTGCGTTAATAAAGTAAAAAGACACAAATTTAGCCAAATCAGACAGATTCATAGCCCACAAATAGCTAGAATCTAACCACAATTGTAAATATCCAACTAATAAACCTAATATAAGGCACAAAAATGCCAGTAACAAACACAATATTATATCAAATGATAGTAAAACTTAGTGTAAATAAAATATATTCAAGTAAAACTTAATTTAGAAAAATATAGCACATTTTTAAACAAAAACAGCTAAAGAGGGAATTAAATATAAAAATAGATGTGGCACTAAAAAGCCACATTTTTGCTAAATTGTAATGCCAAAGACTAAAAGTATGTGTTTTTTTTTTAATAATTGCTAATCAGAGAATATCACATGTCTAATAGTGCCCACATTAGCTCCACGTCTCATGTTTTATCCAAATTGTCACCATCAGGTAAATATTTCGGTCGCTCAAAGTAAATTCTGAGAGCAGCAGCAGCAGGAACATGTGGCCCACGGGGAGACACCTATGCAGATGTTTTCATATTCATTTGGCTCCTGGTGAGCTTTTCTGACAAAACAAGAACAGATCAACACCCTGTACGACAGCAGGCACAACAGCAAGCTGGGGAAGAATGACACAAAGATACAGAGAGGGAGAAGCAAAAAGAGAGAAACAGAGTGAGAGAGGGAGAGAAAAAGAAGGGGGGGGGGGGTAGAAAGACTGTCGTTGATTTTCCATTCTGCTTCAAAATGAGAATGTGGCCTGGGAGTGGATCTATGGCCAGAAACGATCTCATTACATTTATCGATCTTCTGTTTACCCATGGCTGACAAAATAGACAGAATTCATAGATATTTTATGATGCAGAAGGTAAGTTGTTATTAATACCCCAATATGGGGATATGTGAAAGTGAGCCACCAGGCACAGATGGAGGAGCAAAGACAGGACTGGGACTCATGTGAGATTTATATTTTTGTAAAGGCACCATCACATCAAAAGCAGACCATATCGTAAAAACATGTCGTCTGCATATAATGTTTTAGAGAGGTAAAATGTTCCTGTATTTTTGTTTTTACTTTCATAATGTAAAATTGGTTTAGATATTTTCAAAATTTGTAAACAACCCCCCCTCTCCTGGGGGGTGGTACACACTTGCCACATAATAAACTCTATTATTAAATGCAAACATATATACGGTATAACATTTTCTTTCAGTGACCTACATCTACTATTCAGGTACCAAGGATGTGGCCCACACCTCAGTTGACTTGAACCAAAGATGTGTCTTTTTTTCCCACCCCATGTTGGGACAAACCAACTGGCCACATAGACATGCTGACTGTATTCTAACCATTTTTGTTTTGTCCCTTGCCAAATGAAAATATCTAATGCTTGCAGCAGATCCACTCATAAATGCTAACTTAAGCGAAACTAGCAGTAAATATCATTAAAGTAGCCTGTGTTCATTATTCAGAGCTCCTTCATGTGATTATCTGCTGTGAGTCGGAGCCTGTCCGGCGGCGGCGGCAGCAGCTGCTACTGCTGCTGTAACTGCTGCTGCTGCTCCAGATGAGGGACCTTACTGTGTCTCCCTTTTCTTTAGGGGAGCAGGTAGAGGAGAGCCGAGCCGGAGAGGCCACGGGGGCGCTTGGGGCCGCCGGGTCCCTCTGTCCTCTCCCCAAGGGAGACATCGGCAGGGTCCCCGTCTGGAGCACTGTGGAGACATTAGCCAAATGCTATTACCCTGAGCTCGCTCACCTGCGAGACAGCACTGGCCTTCTAGCAGACTATGCTTTCCCAAAGGGGGCTTGTCCAGGTGAGTCACCTCCCACCCCTCCCCCACTCTCCTCACAATGTGTTACACGATTGTCAAAATACTAATATATTTTGCATTAAAATGATTATTCCGTAGTATTTCTGTAACACATGCAACACATTCCAGCCTTTTTAAATATTTCACCATGGCTTATCCTTTCTTTTGGGAATCACACCATTATTTATGCTGTTTGAGCTTTTAAGCTCTAACTAGGGGATTTTGGTTGGACTTCCATTTATATCTCTCTATGTTGGCAGCTGTTTTTAGACTCTAATAATAATTTTCCAGAGTGAAAACAAAATGGGCAATTGTTTGATTCCACCAAGAGGGAAATTAAATGTTTAGTTTAGAAGATAAAAATAGTTGCTTACACCAGTGAACATCAAGGTTACCTAGGCCTTTAGGCCAGAGGACCTGACTCTGAACTAGTTCTGAAATAGTTATCATCTAGTTTCATCAAACCAAAGTCTAATGCGCCCTCTTCTTCTGTCTTTCCAGCTGCTCTCTCACCCTTCTCTGTGACACGTCGTATCGGCCATCCATACCAGAACCGGACGCCGCCCAAGAGGAAAAAGCCTCGCACCTCATTCAGCCGAGTTCAGATCTGTGAGCTGGAGAAACGTTTCCACAGGCAGAAGTATCTGGCATCGGCTGAACGTGCAACTCTGGCCAAGGCCCTGAAGATGACAGACGCGCAAGTCAAGACCTGGTTCCAAAACAGACGGACAAAATGGCGGTAAGACGTCAGCAAGTTCACACTCGAGCCATTTGGAATAATTTCTCATCATGCAAGACTTAGATAAAGAGGTGTTTCAAAGTTGTTCGACTTTATTAGTCACCAGTTTCAACAGCAGTGATTATGTTGTAATTGTAACTGAAGTTTAGCCAGATATTGTGAAACATTTCCAAAAATAACACCTAAAGCATACCGGCATGAAGTTAAAAAAAACAAATACAGGAAATATCCCAAAAATAGCTCAAAAATTGGTTAAAAAGAAATAGAAAATGTGCATGAAAATGAGGTCATTTAGACCTTCAGAGTTAAAAGTGTCAATAGTTACCTATTCTTTTTAGTTAAAATGTAAGTTGTTTAGTGGCTGGTGGTGGCCTCTGACCAATCAGAATGTCATTTAACTCCAGTTGTCATTTATTGAGTATAACACTTGACCTCTAGTGGCCATAGAATGATGTCACTGCCATGTTGCTGATTCCAAAATTGAATAAATGGGAAAGACTATGGGAAGAAGTGCTCATATTTCTTTTTTTGTAAAAACCCTGGTAAAGGAAGCTTCTGCAAAAATCATCACTGACTGAAAGTTAAAATGCTGCTGTTCTGTGGCGTGAGACAAAAGTACGACAACATCCAACCATAGCCTCAAGCTGTTGTACAAGACAACGCAACACATATTTTTGCTTAGCTTAGCTGCTGCTGAAGGCCAGTTCACTTGACCAAGCACAATCACTCCTGAAAGGCCTTTTAGAAAAGTGCTGTCCAAAGCAATACTCAAACACTCACAGGAGGAATTGACCGCCAGGCTTGTGTAGACAGAAAACACTCACACACACACACACACACACACACACACTGTTTAACTCTATTCAAACTGTTGTTTATAGCCATTTGGAAGTAAATGAGTAGGAAATCAAATTACAATGCCCTGCCCTTCATTAAAGGGCCAGGACGCATGTTTCAGAGGCACATTTACAAAACAGCTGAATTACCTAAAGGGCTCTTAATGCTTAACTGATCCTAAAGCATTTCATAATTAGTTTTGAAATTAATGCACACAGAAACCACTTTAAACTGAACTGTGTTTCAGGAGTTAGTTTATTGGACAGTTTGTTCCAAACAAACATGTCGTTTTGAATGTGGCTCTGATGCGCTCCGCTTGAAAGGCAAAATAAGTCAGATTGGAACTTGGAAAAAAAAAGTTTCATTAATGCATAACCGTGGGAAGAATTAGTTCAAAATGAAGCAAATCTGAGGCCGAACACTACGTTGTGACTAACTGGGGATTTGACTTGATTTCCCCGCCGTTTTTCTTTGGAGATTTATGGCGTTTCCCGTGGCGTGCATGCGATGGGGCGAGGGATGAGGGATGCGTTCGCGTGACGGCTACGCTAGTAACAAGAGGATGATCGAATCAACAGGCAGCAAAGCAGATTATGATAATGCTGTTAACAGTAATGTGTGGCTAATGGATGGAGGTTGGTGTGCATGAAAGAGTGGTTTTACTGCTGCTGTTTTTGCCTCTGATTCTTATTTTGTGCATTGGTTTTGATGGCCGTGTTTTTTATGATGTTGTTTTCATCAGCACTTATCTCTCGGATGTGTCCCGTTCTGGGATGATATCACTGACTCAGCACAGTACTGCTGAAGTTACTGTGTTGCGTGTCTAAACATCATTATGAAAGGGATTAGAGGCCAGAAAAAATATTCACAAATCAACGGTGCATTTCATTATGGAAATACTGTTATTATTTTAATATCAGTGATCTGTCACCTCCAGGCCATGTCAGCAGGTGTGTCCAAAATCTGGCTTGGGGCCAATTTTGGCACAGAGATTTAACATGCAACTTACTAATTTCTTGTTGTCTATTATAAAAATATATATTTTTATATTCTCTAAAATATATTCCAACCATATTTGGGATAAATTTGGATCAAAATTTTCTGGATCAAATTGTCATATAGAATCTTATTGAATTTTAGTAAATTTAATCAAATTGTCATATAGAATCTTATTGATCTTTAGCTATTTTCCTCACTATTAAAATGTGGTCTTACTTTTAGTCATTCCATTTTTGATATACTAATTTTAAACTTTTTCTAGTCTATCTAACAAACCCCTATTTGTTATTGTGGGTTAAAAAAATACTGAAAATACTAAAGTCAAGTGTGGCAATTCAAAGACTTTACTTTTATGATTTTCTTAATTTAATTTTTTAATTTAAACTATTTTGACTCCTACATTTAACTAGAACTCCACATTATTATTTTAATAGCCATTTCTATCCTAATGACCTTTAACAAAAAAAAAAAAAAAAAGACCCTTAAAACTACGGTTGGGCTGCAGCCCAAAGAATAAAAAGTTTTTGTCCCATGGCAAGAATAAAAGAATAAAAAGTTTTTGTCCCATGGCTGGACTATTCAGGGACTTGTCTAAATCCATAGATTGCTGACTCGTCCACACTGGTTTCCTTCACAAACATCTCCATTCCTCCATTGTGTTTCAGGAAAAAACACATTTGTGTGAATGATATTAGCAGCCGCTGACACAATGATCAGACGGTGTGTCACTCTTAGCGTGTGCTGAGAAGATGTGGGAAGAAATGAAGAAGAAAACAGATGTAACTTTTCCCCTTAAGGAAGGAAGAGTGCGGTACCTCCTCCTTCCTTCACCTCCTCCTCCTTATGTCACGCTTTTCAGACCAGCACCTGTCACTCATACTGTTCAGCTGTCATGTAGCCTGAAGCTGACATTGAATTAACAAGAGAGTAAACCCTGGTGATTTGCAAATAAACTGCCTCATTTCTTTTCTTTAATGCTATGGGAATTGACTTTCATCAGTTTAAATCTTTTATTTTGATAACCTTACCTTTGTTTTGAAGGCATTTTCTTTCTGGTTGGTGGCCAACAGCTTCTATGATGTCATTAGTGTATTCAGTGATTCATTCATTCATGATAAACACGTTGTCCGGGAATGGGTTGGAGAGGAGGTGCAGCCAAGTCCTGCTGACTGCAGGCTAAAGTTGGAGAGCAACCAGGAGTGGTCCATTACCGTGGCCAGTCCAGCAGCCATTCACATGTACTGTCGCTCCGTCAGTTTTGACATGTGACAGGAAACTAGAGAACGTGCAAACATACACAAAAGGTCATCTTTGGGCAGTCTGAACCAGTTTCCCCTGGTTGCTATAAAGCAACATTACTAACCACTGCACAACTGAACTTTTTTAAATGTTTCTACCTTTGGATGCATGTTTTTACCATCATTATTAGCAAATTGTATCTTACATTATTTTATGTCAGTCTTTGGCAAAAAGGTGAAATTAAGAAAGTTTAGAGCAGGAATATACCAAATACACATGTCAATGTTCCAAATATAAAAACTAAATTTTAGCCTAAAACGGCATAAAGCATAACCAAGTAACTGACAGGAAGACAAAAGTACTTTAAAAAATACAAAATCTGAAAAACATTAAAATTAACCACAAATTTTAATGAATTAAAATGTGATTTTTGTCCACTACTTATATATATATATATATATATATATATATATATATATGTGTATGTGTGTGTGTGTGTGTGTGTATTTGAAAGACAAGTTGCAAAAGGGTTATAAAAGTGTACAGTACTGCACATATTAGAAGTGATGATATGTTCCCTGTAACACCTTACCTGACTGAATGGAGCTGGGTTGGCGGCTGAAGACATCTAAAGGAGGAGCCGATGTCTACGTGTAGTTCTTTCTTTTCTCATGGATGAAATGTTGATATGAACTCTCTGTTCAATAACAACAGGTTTAGTGTTTGTTGACTCCCATGGTTTTAATCTGCAGGTCTTAACATGACTCCAGAGTCGTTCTCACTGAGAATGTGAAACAAAAAACAGAAAACATTAAACATTGGATTTCTGGATTGACACCATAGAGGTCCTTAATACTTCTCTTCTTCATTTTCTTCTGTCCCTCCGTCCACCCAGGAGACAGACTGCAGAGGAGCGGGAGGCGGAGCGGCAGCAGGCCAACCGGCTGATGCTACAGCTTCGGCAGGAAGCCTTCCAGAAGACGCTGAGCCAGCCCATGCAGCCGGACCCTCTCTGCCTGCACAACTCCTCCCTGTACGCCCTGCAGAACCTGCAGCCCTGGGCAGAAGACAATAAGGTGACCTCCGTCACCTCCGTGGCATCTGTAGTGTGAGCGTCTCTGCGTGTGTGTGTTTGTGTGTGTAACAGAGAGAGAAAAATAAGTGTACACAACTGTATAATGAATGGACACAAATGCAGCAGAAACAATGTTGCATTCTTAAATAGCTACAGAGAAATTGAATGAACATTGTCGCTCCTTCACCCATTGATCGTTACCAGCAGCACGTTGGTGAGGGAGCATGTGTCCATTACTGCAGGGGCCCAACAAAAACACTGTCCAGCGCAGAGGACAAAATTAAACAACTGTTGTCATGAATTTCTGAAGTATTGTTGAGTCAATTTCCTGCCTTACACCAAGTTTCCGCTTTCCCTTCAGCTGACGGTCTAAAAGAGAGGAGGGCACTGTAAGCCTCAGTGCCAGGACACAAATGGACACCTCTGTACATGCCCCAACTATCAAGACTGACCCCCACCCACCCACCTAACCCCACTCTTTGCCTCCGGATCCCTCACAAGGCTGCAGGGAATTGTCTGCCGTGAATGGCAAAATAGAAAAGGAGAAAAAAACAAAAACAAACTTCAGTTTTTTCCCCTTTGACTTTGTACAATATAGTAAAAATGCATGTTTCAAGCCTTTTCTGTGTGCACATGGAAGTACATTTGAAGTCAGCAGTCGTCAAGGTCGAGCTCCTCTTCCTCGACTTCCAACTCCTCACTGACCGCGGTGTGGAAGTGGTCACGGACTCACAGACTGACTGACCTGAGATTCCTTATTATGTTCACTTTAAAGGTGTTTTATATTAAATGATATTGTGACTTTTTGGAAAAAGACCACAAAGCTCTTTGTTTTCCTTGCCTCACTCCCTCCCTCTCTCTCTCTCGTTCTCTCTATTTGTCTCCGTCTCGTCGGATTTCCTCCACACACTGCTGTATTTGTTGTTTGTCACCATTATGAAAACAATGCAATAATACTTTATGATTTTTAGGGAGGTAGTTAGCCCTGTGGGATCTTAGCTCTGATTACACATGAAGGTTTCAAACCACCCAAAGGTAAGATACCAAAGTGTATGAGAAGGACAGTGCAATACTTTTTTTGTACATAAAAAACTGATGACTACAGCTCCCATGTGTGCATCTGAAGCGGGGTGTTGCCGAAAACCAGCAATTGTGCTCAGCAAAAGCCCTCGCTGGATAAATAAAAGTTTGAAAATGGAAGCCAGCTCAAATTAGGATGAGTGAAGTGAAGAAAGAACAGGGCGTGCTGATGCCAAATGAAATGTAGAGAAGTCTATTATTTTCATTTTTATTTCAGTGATCTCAGTACAGATAGTACGGAGCTTATGAAATGTGAGTAAATGAAACAGAAAAACTTATGTGACTTTTCCAAAACAAGACTTTTAACTTGTGCCTTTAACCACACTGTAAAACTTTAACACTACATTTCAACCTGACACTGTTACTGTGGCTCACTGGCCAAGCTTTGACCAAAGCGAGTACAAACAGAATGTTATAGTGTTGGAGCAGTCTTTCCATCTGACTTACCATAAAACTTGTGGTTGTTGTGAATTCCTCAGGTTCATACAAGTGGATTTCAGACGTTGTCTTCACTTCCTGGCAAAACTGAGTGTTGTTATAGTTATAGCTATCATTTGGTGTTATCAATCCATTATTATCAGGTTTTTCCCAATATAAACAATGACATAAAATTGTTATTGATTAAGGAATTAGAAGTAAAACACACAAAATACTACAGTAATGTGCGGAGCAGTAAGGTTGTCAGATTATTTCTTGATTTGAGTTGAGTTGAGTTGCTAACAGCTACTGCCTCAACAGTGGATATCAGAGCGGCTTCTGTGAATGAAATGGAGCCCAGGTGTGAAAGCAGACACAGGTGAGACTAATGTGCTAATCACACAAATAGAAACATCACACAAGCACTCCACCGTTATTGGGTCAAAACTATGTACAGTTTAGGTATCCATCCATCCATCCATCCATCCATCCATCCATCCAT